ATATATATATATTTATATTTATATTCCACGACCACCGCCGCCGCTCCCACTCTCACTCTCCTGTCGCTGTCTATGTTCACGGCGAAATTGAAACCCCAGAATGCGCAGCTTTTATTTGACGCTGCTACATAAGCCCCTCTTGGGTGCCTTGCACTAAACCCGGCATGTGCATGTACGTTGAATGATCAGCCTGCGCCGGGAGCAGCTCAGCCGAAACCATTCAGGCATCACAGGCTGATGCGGGTTTCACTTTTCGTGGCTGACTGGCTGCGGGATGTGGGGGGTGACAACCGGCTCCTTGACTTCATCTCGTGGTCTTGGATGCCTGCGTCTAGCGTCATCTCCCATCCCCTTCCCCGAAGGTGTAGGCTACAATAAACCAACTGGCCGTCCCTCAACCCAGCCCTAATTTGAACGGCGTTGCGCCAGCGTGATGCAGTGCAAGGCTTTTCAAATATATGGGCCCCAAGGCATGGCTGATCATGGTGATCACATAGCCACGTGCCGAAGATCCGAGGGACGGACAACTTTCCATATTACATTCCCACCCTCCCACCACGCCACCAAGAAGCACCCATGCCCAACATTCGACACCCGGCCACCAGGATCACAGAAACAGCCCGCCGCGCCACACCGCCGCCGCCACATTGCGTGACTTTTATTACCTCTTCTTAATGTACTGTAACGCTGATCGGTATTGAATGTACTACTACTACAACTATTGCTGCTGCTGTCTGCTACTACTACTATATATATACTACTATAGTACGAGTGCTATAGTAGTAATAGTAATAGTAATAGTAATAGTAATAGTACCAGGAGTGTGGTGAAGTTGCTGGCGGAGGCAACTGCATACCATAAAGACATAACTAGGTGGACGCGCCGTTCCACAATATAATTACCCTGAACCTGCAAGAAGCAAGTAGCGCACTGCGCTCGAATGCCTTACCTCCCGAGTCCTTTTAGATGATTAATTGAGGCTATATAGTGCTACGTTGGGGGACTATAGGTGTTGAGTGCTTGGGAAAGGACAACTATTTTGAAATGACCCCGATCCATGAAACCTACGAACGGCTCCGAAAACATATCAGTTTCCCAAACCCAGCATCCGAGAACACATTGCGTTAGCTCGCGCAACATATCCTCTAGTGATGTCACCTTCCGGACATGATATACTCCGCTTGGAAGTAGCAGCATTTGTCTGGACCCAGCTGGAACAAACTATACCCCACGAAGTGAGGAACTGGTCTTCTTCACACTGCAGCAGGAGCCAAATGCAGAGCCTCGGCTTTCCAAAGTTGTAAATCAAGGCTTGCAACAAACTGTGAAGGGCCCAGAACATCAAACCCATTCGACTTGTAATTCAAATTAAACTGAGCCTTGAACGCTAGACCCGAGCTTGTCAAGATGTCATACGGGTTGGTCTTCATTGACATGGCTCTAAGATCTTCATCTTGGAGATAGCAGATGTCCAGGGTGCACGATGGGTACCCCCCTGAAGATATAGCCGCATATAAGTTTGCATGGCCAGAGAAGAATTCTATGAATTGTATCTCCTCGGACGTTGCAAAAAGAAACTTTTCTAGAATTGACAGAAGCAAACTGCAGCTCGTACACTACCCCGGCCTTCGAGACCTGCGCAAGCTGGGTGTGGAACGTGAGCACCACACACAGGATGAAAGCCTGAAGTTTCAATGCCATTTTCTGATGTTGCAGGATAGGGTTTATAGTAGGGACGCAGATTTCCAAAGCGTAATGCCAATCAAGTGACGGTTGGACATCTGAGTTGCTGCAGTCTCCAGACCAGTTGATCGAGATACGCCATGCTACAGGAAAGATAACGAAGAGAGAAAGGCAAATCACTAGGACATGTGCTTCTGACAGTACCCTGGGACTATAGCCTTTATAATGTCCTTTCCTATCATGCAGGATGAATCACGACACTGGTCGACATTCGGGCAGCCACACGCAGCGTGTGGAATGTTGCTTGCAAGGCATCCCGAGCTATGTTGCGTAGACTCCAAAGACACTCCTGCAAAATGCGCCCTAATCTAAGAGCCCCACACATGAGTCATCTGAACCCCACACAAGGAGCCTATAGAGAGTATGAAGCTCTTAGTTCAAAACAGTACTGGGCACAGCAAACCGCGAAAGGACCTCTTTTTCTCGGGCTCCCAGGCCAATCCTTTCAACTGCACCTAGTCCATGCTGTTCATATCATAGATCCTGGGGTGGACCAGGCCCAGTGCTAGGTACTCGGGGCCTGAGTAATCCCGAACCAGAACGTTGTTTGCATCACGCTCCAGTATCTCGAGATAAAGATCTTCATCCTTGTGCAGCAAAGCCCCGTTATCACCATCCATGAGGAACTCTTTGAGCTGTGGAAGAAAATCGTCATCCGTAGACCACATGGATACAGGACCCTCCAGATACGACTTCCAATCAGACCCTGGACGCCCAGGTAATTCAGCAACCACAAGGTAGACTATCGGCGGCCGCCTATCTGCTGGCATTTTGTTCCTCTTCTTCTCAGGAGGAGGCATGGATGCATGGGGAACCTAGCTGCGCTAGAAGATTCTGAGCTGTTTACGGCCGTGGACATGATAGAAGCTTTGCATTTCCAAAGAGACGGACACACAGACGGAGAGAGAGACAGAGAGCGAGAGAGAGAGCGAGGGCGAGACAGAGAGAGAAGTATAAGACGAGAACGCACTGGGAGAGAGAGGGAGAGAAAGAGCAATGGAAAGAACCTGGGCCCAACACCCCAATCCAATAAACCGCAACCTGAAGACGACACCCTTTACTTTACAAACCTTGAACCATAGGGCGCCCCAAGAGAACACATGGAGAAGCTCAAAAGATCAGCGTGTGGCAGCAGCAAAATCCAATTGCCCGGCAACTCTAAGTGACCTCTGTAAATCCCCCAGGTACCCC